AGCATAGATTTGCTTTTGTACCCTAACCTATTGACAGACATACGTATTATAACAACTTGGAGTACATGTAGAGGATTTTATAAACATGAAGACAAAAATATCTGGCTTTTGTGTACAGTTGCACAGCAGAGGACTGTACACGTACGTACATGTATCCAGATGTCTGATCGACTTTTATTGCATTTGTGCATACTGGGGATTGGATTTCTCAGAACTTGTCTGGGATTCAGGATTTTCGACTCCACAGCTCTGAATTGTTGGAGGACTGACCCTAGTTAGTCAGGATTATTATCGAATTGGGAGAGAGCTCTGTTGGGTGTTCAAAACCCTGAAAGGTACAATATGTCATTGTTGGCATTGTTGCCGCCACTCTGTTGGATGTTTCTTTATAATCCCCTACATGTACATGCCCCTGGCAGAGTTCTTTAATTTCCCAATCACTTTTCTGAAGGACAAATTTCCCTTGTCTGGTCCGTTTCCATCTGTGCAATGTCCAGCTTGTCCCAGTGTTTTTGAGCAATTTGTCATTATCCAAATGTTTGTTTGGAGTTGCGCACTTTGCCTGCATTTAAAAAAAGGTTACGGCTTGCATGCTTGCTGTGCATTCGCACATGTACTGGGGTAAATTCTCTCTGTTTAGCCCCAAATTTGCCATGTCTTAAGCACGTGAAGGTAGTTTTTGTCGAATTTTTCAATAACTGGTTTGGATGCTGTACTGTACAGTGAATATGGATGTGTTCATTGTGCACAACCTTTGCCGTTCATGCCATTGATTTACAGTCTCAGTCTCTGCCCACTTGAAGGGAAACTGATGGGGAAATACCTGACACTTTACCATAATTCATCTTTACAGTCGCTGTATAGTCAAACAATATCTCACACAGCGTAAGCACAATGACAGAATGACCTATCATCGAAGCGGAGAGACTCGGGTCCGCATTAATGGAGCTTTTGTTCTGCATTCATCTGCCTACCATGAGCAGTGAGCAGCTGACCTTATGGAAATTGATATTTCATCATGGGAAACAGTTGTCCAAGGTTCATTGAGGATTCGGACCAACAGTGCCCATCACATATAAAGTGCATTGTATCTTTACATGTCGCTCAGGCTGTTTAGGTTAGGTGCGTTTCCATCTCTCGAGTCAGTAATCAGTAGATATCACAGTTCCACCTCCTACACACACAGTACAGACATAAGTGCATCTGACATTGAAGGCTGTTGTACATGTGTGGTTATGTACTTTAAAGCAGTGTTTCAATATTACATGTAAGGAAGGGGCACATGTACATGTACATGCATGTAAGATGGACGGCAGTGAATTACTGCATGAACATGTTCACTCTTCAAAGACGGTTGAGCAGAAAGAGTCGTCATCAGGCAATGTTCATGAGTCCAGGCACAAGTAAGTATAAAGCTTTCATCTGCATTCCACAGCCTGCCTGGCCCCCAGCTCACACTGTAGCATAGAGGCTAGCATTCTCAGTTGGGGGCCACACTCATCTTGTTTTTGTTTCTTGCTAGGGGTAGTACAGTGATAGCATTAAGGTTATTTGCACCCTTGCATGCCGACCATAACTCAGTAGCTGTGTATACATATGCAATGTTCATTCTATGCCTTCAACTCAATCACCGGGGGACCTGGGCTCACACCTTGAGCACCAGTACCATGTATGTCTGACAACCTGATGACCAGACATGTGAAAGTGGAAGAGTTCTGGCCAAGTCGTCACCATGGTGTTGTCTTCGCTGTGTCCTTTCTTATGGTTGAAGTGACCAAGCTTGTTGACGGGAATGTTTTAGGAATTTTGGAGGCTTGATGTACATGCAGTGTACCGGCACTTGGAGCTTTTCCATCCACTGGCTCTGTACTGTTGCATGGTGCTAATGTTGATGGCAAGTCAGTGGTTGATTGTGACCACAGAGTGATTTTTGGTCACAGTAGAGGATCCTGGAGCCTTGTGTCCTCTGTCAGGACTGTCCGGCCAGGATGCACTCCTAGTCCTAGGCTAAAGTGCTCTCTTTGATGGTTTAGCTGTAGCACAATAGAAAGCAATGAAACAAGATTGGATGAGAAAGATTTGACAGACAGTGCCAGGGTGCCAGCCACCAGGTACGATACATGCATAGCCAGCATTTTTGCTACATTTGATGTTGATTAATTGCCTGGACGGTGGACTGTTTGCAAGATGAGGAGAAAGGAAACAATGTACACGTATGAGCTTTGACATGCCAAACCATAACAAGCAGTAGTGGATGGGAATGACAATAAGAACTGAGGCAACTTCCTTTACTTTTGCCCCATAAATCCACCGTCACCCCATTACTCGTAGCATTTTATTCCCCTCTCCAGCTTTATTTTTATTTTCTTTCATGGGTTGCAGAATCAGTATAATATCACTCCCCAAGTGACTGGCAAATGTGGAAGGTTTAATGTACCTATAGTACATGGAGGAATAAAACTTGCCTAGCTGTGCATAGTTGATAAATGTACGCACATGTACGGGAGGACATGTACAGTACCGGTACATACATGTCAACATGCACACCAACACCAAGTATGGTTTGAACAAATAAAATTCGCATTTACTAACAAGTGAAATGGACTGAAAGGATAAGAACAGATGTTATGCAAATCCTGAATTCAGCAGCTAGTGTATATATTCATTATTATAGTACTCATAAAATGTTTTCGTAACTGTCAGGTGAGCTGTCAAGGTTCCAAGGTATGCATACCAGTGTACCTGCACATATGGTCTTATAGATAAACTCTTATGAGGTAGAGATATGTCACAAGATACCAGCACATACCGCTTCGAACGACCTTTCACTGGTATACAGATCAGGATGGTTTTATGGTTACCGTATTGCATTCATATATTCAGATTGGTTGTTAGTGCTTAGTTGTCATGTAGAAATGGCATAAAAAGCGGAAGTGAAATTTAGTTTGAACCCCTTTTATTGTGCTGGTTTTGTTTTATTGGTTCAGTGAGTTGTTTGCTTTTTTGTAACTGGCGTAAAAGAAAGGTGTTTGTGAGTCATCCAGTTCCTTTTTGGTTCATGGTGTGAACACTGCTTCATAGACTGTCCTGCAGATATCAGTGGATGACGAGGATCAGCGGGGTGGCTGACAATGTCAGTCATGAGCAGGTGAGGAACGGCATAATCTGCTTCTTGTCACAGCTTACAGTGTTAGTTTTTAACAGGTCTGTTCTAGTCATAACTGGGTCCAGCTAGCTGTATAGCGCTGCTTAACAGTTGGCTGAAAGTTGGGTGTACTGTAGCAGAAAATCATGCTACACTGCTCAAGCACTGTATCCTGGCATGGAAGTGTTGGTGGCTTCCTGAGCATGGGGATTTCCTTTTTTACATTTCTGGTTTCATTCAGCCTGTTCTCAAACCGTTCCATGAAACATGTGGCACCAAGGCAGTACATTACGTGTATCTTATCATACAGAATCGGCTGCCAGCAGTGCTATGCAATTAGGCATTGATGGTACATGCACATATACAAGGTATTTCGCAGGCACCATTGCAGGGGTAGGCTGTGTGTGGATGCTGTCGGCGAACCGTGCCCCCTTGATGGGCTCTGTGTTTTTAAAGTACGCCCTGTTCCTTGGCAACGACATCCCCGGGAGCCCTTATCACACAGTGTATGTGCTTGCGGTTTACCAGTGCACCCATGGCATAGAGTGTGCCAGGCTGATGGATCAACCCCATCTCGGCATGGTTGTTAGGGGCCTGATGGCAATGGCATCCTTGTGTTGATCTTTGAGTGAGGAGGGCACAGAGACCATACATCCCAAGGTTCGAGCTGGAAGCATTTTAACAAGAGCCAAAGTTGTAGCTAAATACGCATTTTTGCAGCCTCTTACTTTTTGCAATGCTAAATACCAGCACCATATGTTTTTCATGTCATTTGTTCAAGGTTATAAGTTTATATTTGGTACTGGCAAATATTCGCCATACTGTATGGCTGCAGTGGTGGCTGAAACAACTTACTGGCACCACATGTGTACATTGTATGTTTTCTCATTTCCTGTTCTTTGAAACCATAGCGTCTTGGCTGTAAGGACACATCAAGGTATTGAAGTGATCTAAATCAATTCTGTACATGTACAGAATGTAGGTCGTCTTCATTTGTCAACAAATCTTTCTACTCAACTTGTTCATCCAAGGAATTGCAATGCCTGTAAACAGTGAAGCATTGCTAACGCTATCCAATGGCAGTGGAAGGATTTGAAAGTGGGTCCCCAGTCATGAGACAAACAGGCATCAGCCATTTATAGGCCGATCCATTAAGCCCCACTAAGGAGAATTGGGGGGGGGGACAGTGCTAGTGATGCTGCCATATATATATGATGTACATTTTGTTCGTAGTCCTGATGGTTGTTCAGTACAGTGTACGTTAGAATCCATTTAGTGGTTTTTATTGAACTGGACTTCACTAAAAACAAAGTATGAGAGGACTTTATTTGAAACAAAATGTGGTTGCACTCTAATGATCAGGATTGACTTTATCATGTTTCATTAAAATTGAAAGTAGTTGATTTTGTTCAGGAATACATTTGCATTTTGTTTCCTCCTGTGATTACTTACAATAACAACATAGAAGACATTTTGAACACAAATTTAAATTTTAATTATTAATGAGGATACTGTTATTATAAGTCAAAAACCTGTGATTATGTTAGGATGTTAAATGTGCGTACATTGTACGTGAGCATACATGAATTATCTATGAAATTATTTGCATGTGTACTTAAACTGGTTTTAATCAATTTGGAGTACATGTACTTTTCCGGTTGAAAACTTAATTGACATTTCCGAGTAATCAAATCTCTCCAATTGAAGGCATCTTGCTACTGGAAATTTGCTTGCCTTTAAATTACAAAACAGAACTTAATTTGAATTTTTCTCTTTCATTTGTTCCTCCTCCTCTTCCCTCATCCACTTTTCTTTTTCCTGCCACTTTCTTCACGGTTTCGCTGTGTCCATCCAGGTCCAAATCATTTGGCATTTCCAAGGCTTTTACTGATGCGTTAGCTAAACTTGAGGTAAGTTTTGTTCATTGGTTTGATGATGCATGTAACTGATTCTGAGGCATTGCTGAGAATATTTCTGTGAACATTCATGTCACTTTCCCAAACTGTGTCATACATAAGAATGATGCAGGGTACCAGTACTTCCATTATGGGTCTGCATGTAAACCATGCCTGGCCTCTTGCTTTGAATGTGCTTTGAACAAACTGACCTTCAGTGGAATTGAGCAGTCCGTACATGTATTTTACATGTATGTTAAGGCCTACATTGCTTGGCATTTCAATTCATTCTTCAAATCAGAATCCATATCTAACCCTGGTCAACTACATGCACATGCATATTTTTGAAAAGGTGACATCGAGCTGATTAGACCAAAGCAAACCCAGTAGAATTCTCCCCCCCCAGATCTCAATTACAAGTCACTGAAATTGTTTACACAACTTTGGCCTGAAAGGAATTCTGTATTCCTACTTGGCTTGATGATGTTACTCAAATGTCAGCTAATGTTTACAGTTTCTCTGTGCTTTCTTTGTGTGTTTGTGTCATCATTGGACCCCAGAAAATGTCACGGAGCAAGTCCTCCCCCACAAAAAAAATTACAAATTCTACATGTTGTTTATGCAACAGTGGAGACATTTTTGCCTTTTGTATGGAGTCATGCACACATTCCCCTTAAGTACTGGATACAGTGATGTATATTCAAGGTTAATAGTTGAATTTTTCATGCCCCTGGAGTTTATAATGTATGCACTGTCACAATTTCCAGAAGGCATCTTTCATCAATCAACCAAACATTTTCAATTTCATGATAATATGTGTATATGTATATTTTGAATTTCATCAAAACATTGGAAATTCAAACTGTAAGGTTTACTAAGTATTTTGAATTGCATCTCAGAATAAAAGAAATTTCTAATAATCTTCAAGTTATTTCAAGCTACTTTTAAGGCTGGTATTAATTCATTAGTTTTGGTCACCTTCTGGGACCTTAAGACCTGCCTCCTGTCTTAGTTCCATGTTGGGTTTCAATCTTTTTGTCCTTGTTTTGCTCTGCAATTCAATTTTGTTCTATGAGTCAAATATTGCCACATGGCCAACATCATCCAAACTCTCAATTCCAAATGTCTAGACTTAATCCCACAATATAAGCCTTGAGGCTGATTCTTAAAAATGTTGTTTTACAGTACTTTTCATTAAAACAAACTGAGTTTGGTGTCCTGGTGAAAATACAATGAAAATTCTTAGTGACAAAACTTCATGTACAAGATACATGTAAATGCCCATGATGCAAGATTCTTCAAAGTCATGGATTCAGGTGACTTGCAACTGATATTGCATGTACAATGTATTATTTTGTAAAGGTTTCCTGAGTATTCCCAAGTGCAGAACAGCTCGCATCATTTGTACATGTAATTTTTTGTATGGTTACATGTACAAACAGTGAATTCTTAAACATACATGTACATGTACGTTGTAGCTTCTTGTTACAACTCTCTGTGCAAACACAAAATTACATATAGCGTTGTCCTCCTCCCAGAAATCCATCAATTTAAGAAATCAGGTCGTCTCAAGTTCCAGGACAGTGTATAGTCCATGTATCCATGAAGGATAACTCTTGGTTCAGCGAGTGTATTCTCAGGGTGTTTGTGCAGGGTATTTTTAAGAAGTGCCAACATGCAGAGGACCTTTTCGTCCTGACGTACATGTAACTGAAGGAAACTCAACCCTCTTGGAGATCAAGAGGCTGGTATGTTTGTCCATGATTCTCTGGGGCATCAGTGGGATCAACCCATTCTTGGTGGGAGAGCCTCTCCTGCCTTAAGGGCAGGGTTATCTGCATACCACAGAAGGCTAGTATAGAAACTTGAGCTCTCCAACTGAGGCCCCCCAGGGGAGGTGTGAGCAATAGGATTTGTGTTGGGAAGAAAACCCAGACTGGCTAATTTTAGGCTCAGATTGAAAATGAATTATTTGCCCAGAGCAAGCTGTCCTTCCTTTGGACTTTTGGTTGAATTAAGGAAGTAAGTAAATTTATTTCCAAACATCCAATTGTACATAAGCCCGTTCAAGTGTAATCAGGGTAATGGAGAATATGTGGTAATAGTTACATGTAGGATCTGCTCAGCCAACTGTGCTTGATAATGGCATCTATTTCAAAATGCGTCCTGCATCATGTGGGAACTGTTGTTTGGAAAACCAAGTTGTACATGTACTGGGGGCACCCCATGCTCTGTTTCTAATGCTTCATTGTACTGTATTTTCCTGTCATTTGTAATACTTTTTCTGAGGGGGTGTTTCACCAGCCAACAGATAATCATATGCAGCACCCTAAGGCTGAATCATGACCGCACAAACAGAATGGACTTTAACAATCCCCTTCACATAGAACCAACAGGGGCTGATCTAGATTTTCAAATCAACTGATATTGGCATATCTGAAATTGTCCAAAGTTCTTGGGGCCTAAGCATATGGAGGGGCTTACATGCATAACTGTTAGTTTGGCTTGGGGTGAAGTGTGTTCAATTTAAAATAAAAATAACAGCACGAATGCTGGATCTGAATTCACAATTTGGCATTCGTGCTGGCTTTTATGCCAACTGCTAAGTATGAAGTATTCCTATGTTTAATTTGTTTGCCTCCCAACTACAAGGGGTCTAAACCCTTTATAAGCGTTTTTCATCATTTTCACGAACATACAGAATTCTTTCTTTTGGACCCTTCTGTTCCCCCCTCCTGGAACATGTACCTGTTCGTACAAGTACATGTAAACTGAAAAGGAAACAAGTAATGATTTCTGTTCTTGGCGTTATTACTTTAATCTTTTTGAAAAGCCTACATTGCAACCAACTGCCTTTTCCCCGGTGTAAGATTTGTATACTCCTGAAAATGATTTTACAATTTATATTGAGATGCAAACAAAGGCATCTAAACTGATAAATTTGAGAAAATATTCCTGATCATAGTGAATCAACTCACTCCAGTTAACTGGCTGCAGTTTACATGCCTGAAATTCAACTCTCTCCCCCTTTCCGTATGTTTCCCTTGATGAATGCAGATTGTTTTCTACATGGACTTGTATTCAGTACTTTTTTAATGTAAACAAGATTGCTTGGAAATTTAAGTCAAACTTTGTGTGACGCATTGATGGTTGGGCCCTAGCCCTGCGTCACAAAATCCTCCAAAATCAGCCAGAGTTTATGTACCCTTATAATAAAATGTAACTAATAAAATGACTAATACATGCCCCAACTTGAAGCTCTTCTTATTGAAAATATCCTTGTGCAAACTGCATTTGGGTAATTCCAGAAATGACGGGGTCCAAAAGTGCGCCATTTTCGTGTCCCTATTACATCTAACCTTAGTGACAAGTGCCTCCAAACTAGTACTATTTGTGTGGCAGGTAATTTCCATTCATTCATCACTCGTGGATATTAGAAAATGTGTTCTGAATTTACAAGCCAGATGTGACAGGGACATGAAAAAAATGGACCCCAAATTTCTGGAATTAGCCATTTACATGTACTCACATACTATGTATGCGTATTGTCAATACCACCCAATGTACCTGTTCCCCATTACTTGTGCTTTGATGGGCTTGTCTGGTCCAGATACATGTGTATTCCACTATGCATTTAGAGTGAATTGCCGGCATCCATTAATTGATCCATATATGGATTTCATTTTATCTCTGGCTTGTTTTGAAGTGGTGCGCGTGACAGTTTTGCGTCAATCACAGAGTGTGGCATTTTAGAAAACAATCCTTTTTGGGGGGGGGGGAGGAATTCAAGAACATTTGTGTTTGTTGTGGGACACCTACCGGTAAAAGCAAATGCAAGTTTTCATTTTTGACCTGTCAGTGTTTTTAGAAAAGGGAACAACCTCTGTTGTCTTCATTGCCTGAATTTCATGGGGAGGTGGCGCCGATCATGATACTTCACTTCCATTTCTCTCACGCCGTCAGGTGTGGCGGTTTGCAAACTTCAGGTTGTCGAGTGCAAATGAAGTGCCCGCGAGAGCCTGTGTGACTGTGGTGCTCTTTAGATGGGATATATTTTTAATGGTATTGGCTGTCCTCTTGCAGCATGTCAAGCAGATGTAGCTGAATAATTCATACGACCATGGCACAGTACTTGTGATAAGCAAATGGTAATGGACGTATATGTATACATGTATGTATAAACATGCACCGTACTGCGGGCAATTCTAATTTTGCTCCGAGTAAACTTTGTGGACTGACATACGTACATATTCCCCTTGTTTTTGTTTATATACAGGATATGAGTAATGAAAGTCGCAACAGACAGTTCCACAAGCTATTTAGTTTCATCCCAACAGAAGAGACAGTTATCGTCTGTAAGTATGCACTAAAACCTCAAACATCATGTACATGGATGTATTTAAAACTGCGCGTGTCCAGCCAATTAGGCGGTAATGGCAGAACAGGGAATGATTACACTGATGAACTAAAGTACCTACGTACATTTCTTCCATCTCTGGTGCACAAAGAAATGAGAAGTAACTGGGGAAAACTGATCCCAGTAACACGAACACTTCCGTGCCGTCAAGATTTGCACCCTTGCCCACTCAAGTCTTATCACCCTACAAAATGAAAGAGTTCCGCTTGATTAGGACAAAGGCAGTGATGGTATTTTACACGTACAGTCTAACTTCATATCCATGGTACTGGTGCGTGCATTGCCTTGAGGTTTGGTTCATACACACGCACTTGCATTCTCTACACTGCAGAATATATGAACACTTGTACCTGATGTAGGCCTACTTAATTTGCTGATATTGGATTCCTGCCCTGTTCCCCCTTTGTAGGGCATGCTTGTACGTTATTAAGCGGGAGGGGGCACATTCAGATGCCCTGATTTGATTTTTCTTCTAAATTTAATTGCCTACGTACATGTATATTGTATGCATGTGTGACTTGATTGCCTGAAGGTACATGTAGCTGTTTGCGGTCGTGCAAAGATTTCAGTACGGGAAAGCGTGTTGAAGACGGCGAATGTCATCAAACTTTAAAACAAGGCTTCTATTCATTTTGGCCCTGTGGGAACATTACCGGTACATTGTGTTAACTTATTGCTGGGATCGAACACATGTACTCATGTATGTGCTAGCTGTGGAGGCACCTTGCTAAGACTGTACCACAGGAAGGCATGGGCAATAGCGTGGGGAAAACACCAATTTGTGCTGAAGTCCAGGCACGCCCTCCCTTGCTCTGGCCCCCGTTTGAATGTTGAACATAAGCAGTACAAGCCGCATGTGCAGTGCTTTACAAGAGAGCAGCGAACGCTGTTCACAGTCCACCACTGTGATCATGAATGCCTTTACCTAGATGTACCACTACCATATTCATGGTTGGAGGCCTCTTTCTGAGAATCTCAGTAGTAGGAGCAATGCACCTGTGCAATGTTCAACCAACCACTCATTTCAGCAGGCTCCCCTCTTCTAAATTGCTAGTTATCTACTGATCCATATGTACATGTAGATTCATTGGTTCAAATTACTCCTAAAGAGTACATGTAGACGTATTACCACCATCTTGTGGTCAAAATCAAAGATCGGGTAGCGCCACAGTGGCGCAAGTGGAGAACTTCACCATAAATATGCATAAAATGTTGTAATCGCATGGGCGCCAATTGAGCAAGCGATACGCAGTGCGTGTTAATGCACAGGCGCAGGCGCTGCGGCAGGCATGTACATTGTACACCTGGTGCACCTGAGCCTGTGCATTAACATGCACTGTGCAGGCGTATTGCGTGCTCAAATGGCGCCAATGGTGATTACACCTTTTGGGCAGAGTTCTCCATCTCGTGCCGCTACGCGGCACTCTACGATCTTTAGTCAAAATGAGATAGTGTTTACCAAAATCAGTAAGTAAAGAAAAACAGATAAAATAAGTCCGGAAAAATGAGTTGGTAAAGGCAGGTTTTGCAGCGGGCAGTGGATCAAAATGCATGATAATCTTTCCACAAATGCCGTGCATATGGCACTTCAACTGCAAGTTAATAATTGAAGTGACATTGCCTCAACTACACTCCAAACCTACCATTATTGGCTGAATGTCAGGTTGGGTAATTGGCTGCTTGATGCAGGCTACAAATTTATCCAGCAAGGTTGCAGATTATGTTGTTCAGTTTTGTTATTGTTAACTCACAAACAGATGGTTATTTACATACTGTACTCCACATATTACAGATAATGAAGGTTGTTGATCAAAATCAGTTGCCTGCTTACATTTTTTGGTACTCATTTTCTCTAGCATATTCGTGTGCCTTGGTTAAAGAGATCATGTTTCACGGGAGGATGTTCATCTCCCCAAATTGGATCTGTTTCCACTCAAACATCTTCACATTTGAAACTCAGGTAAGTTTCAAACCCCTTCCACGATAAGACGGAAATCTCTTCCAAGATAATGCACAGGTTCTGTGAATTTCCATTTTTATCTCGGCTATTTCGGGTGTTGCATACAGGGATTTTATGTCTTGAAAATCAGTTGCTGCAGGGCAAGCTTAGAAGCTTTGAAGTTTTTCTTTGTCACTTGTTTTCTTTGTACTTTGTACATGCAGTTGAAACTGTGTATATTTGGAGCATTAGCTGGAGTGTACTGATAATTCGATGTTGCTTGTGTATATTTTTGCATGAGAATTTCTTTCACTCCTAAGCCAGTTTTATCAGTGGCCATTGTCTCAAACAACATCAGCATCTGTAATCACCTAAAGGAAATATTAAACAAAACTTGTGAATTAATTGGGGAATCTTTTTTATTTGCCCAAATTTAACAGACATATATGTAATTTGCCAGAAGGGAAAGTCCAATTCCCCTTCTCTCCTCCTCTGCCACCTCTCAATTATTCTCCAAACGTTTTTCTGACAGCCTGGTGAAATCTTTTAAAACATTGAACCCATTGAGTTCGATGTTATGAAAGAGGAGTTCGATGTTATGAAATAGCAATTTCTGTGAACAGTGCACTTTGACTTTCAGTGTACATGCACCCCTAGGGCTTTCTTCAGGCGTCAGCACACAGATACCTGTTTGTCTTGACGCTTTCATGATTAAGGAATAAAGGCACAAGGAGTCTTGGTTTCTCCTGAGAGTTTGCAAATTTCTCTGTCAATTATTCCCTCCCATCTAGGTGGCCATAAAGATGACCTCTATTGCAAGTATCAGCAAGGCGAGGACGGCTTTTGTTATCCCAAATGCCATTGGAATCCAGACAGAGAACGAAAAGGTGACTTTGTGAAGGCTGCATCTCTTTTAATGCTGCACACTTTGAGTTGTTTACTTTCTGGGCAAAGCAAATTCAAAGTACTTCTACTGCCGTGGTCTGTTTCCTTAAAAGTAAAGACACAAGTCTTACACGTAACATGTTCATGTAAAATTTGGCTTCCAGGAGTCAAATTTCCTTACAAGTTTATCACAAATCAGTCTGTGGCATTTTGACTCACAACATATTCAAATGAACTATGAAGACCTCTCTTAATCCCCTTTTGTGATCTGACTTCGCTTACACTCAGTGGGGTAGCCACGGGGGGCCTGGAGGGACATGTGTCCCCCCCCGATTCCCAGTGCACCCCCCCTCCCAGGTGCCCCCCACCGGAAAAAAAAATGAATGAATGGATATTGAAAAAAGCTAACAAAAGCTTGCCCCTAAAAAACCACACCATTGAAAGCTGGTGCCCCCCTCCCCCGTAAGATGCCGGTACCCCCTTGTGCCCGCACCAGTAACATCCTAGCTATGCCACTGCTTACACTCGTCTGCAGCCATGCAGTGTTGTAGTCAAGGCCATTGAGAGTTACATGTAGGTCAAAGATTTCACAATAAACACCTAAACCGGGACTTCAGTTGCATAGCGAAAAGGAGAAAGATGCAGAATACAATGAGCCAGTGTGGTATTTCAAACAAGCAAGGTCATTTGAGAACAAAACAGGCAAGCGTGAACATGTTCAGTGTGTTTGTGTGCTGGCATATGGTCACTCTGATTAAGCTGACCTCTCATTCGCAGATGGTGCTGTTCCCGAGTGACCTCCAGCGGCATGATTCTGAGAGAAATAAAATCGGTGTGGCAATTAGATTGAGTCGGGAGGATTAAAATGAATGATATACGGCGTGAATTGTGTCACAAAAAACACTCCCAGTCGGGCATTATCTTACTACATGCAACATTTTCACAGCCTTGGTCGTGTAATTTGACCCAAACGAGATAACGTTCATATTTGCAAAAGGCAAACAAAATCGTGGCTCTGCACCTTCATGTGTAAGCGTACCAGACCGGATCTGGGTGCACTGTGGGCCACTCAAACCTGGCTTCATCACTTTTGGAGATGCTATTGAAAAAAAAGTGCACTTCCCACTCTCTCTGGGCAAGACTTTTAAAAAATCAGAAAGAGATTTCTCAGAATGGTGAAATGAGCCTCGTTAGGAAAGACCATACATGGTTGATGCATGTACATTGGCATTCGCCTACCTGAGTGATCGCTAACATGCAGGCCTGTACCGTGACATCGAGCAAACAGAACCAGCATTGCAATTAAATTACCCGGCACAATATATGACAGCCTCCCACGTACAGCAGAGAACAAGGCTGGTAAATGAACACAGGGATGGGTCACATCAGATGTGCTTTCCGTTGCCATGGCAAACATCACTGCACATTCATGTCGTGAGGAAAATGATTCTTATTACCGAAAATGGGTCACTTTGGAGACACTCCCGTAAGAACGTGCACAAACTTTACTGTCCCGTAATTAAATATTCCCTTATCTGATCCGAACCAAACTTTGTGTGTTTTCAATTTAGACCCTTATCTATCATCTCTCAAAATTTGAACGATAAAATTCGGCCTCCTTCTTGGAGCTGGAGCATGAGGGGAGACATTGAAATGTCTCCCTAATG